ATCTTTCAAAATTGATGGAGAAATAAGATACTTCCATGACAAAGACCAACTGAAGAAATTCCTGAGCGCCAAACCAGCCCTACAAAGAGTACTGAAATATATTGTACAAACAGATAAAAATGACCACAATCTCAAGGCCAAAAGTAGAAAAGAACTACCAAGCAAGGTAAACAGTTAAACAGGGAGAAAGTACAGAACCAAAAGTGGGAAAATAACATGACAAGGATAAGTCAATACATATCATTAATAACCATAAATGTAAATGGTCTCAATTCACCAATCAAAAGAAACAGACTGGCAGAGTGGATCAAGAAATAAAATCCAACAATATGCTGCATACAAGAAATGCATTTAACTCAAAAGGAAATCCATAGGCTGAAAGTCAAAGGATGGAAAACAATACTCCATGAAACAGGAACCCAGAAAAAAGCAGGATAACTATTCTGTTTGCAAATAAGGTGAACTTCAAACCAACAATGATCAAAAGAGATTTAAAAAGTCACTATATTCTTGTTAAGGGATAACTGCAAGAGGAAGAAATAACAATCATGAATATATATGCACCAAATATAGGAGCATCCAATTATATAAGGCAAATTTTAACAGACATGAAAAATTAAGTAATAATGTAATTATAACAGGATTTTAACACCCCATTGTCACAAAGAGATAGATCAACTAGACAAAAACTCAGCAAAAAAATAACAGAACTAAACCAAACATGTGAACAAATGGACTTAGTAGACATTTACAGAGTATTCCACCCAACAACATTAGAATACACATTCTTCTCAGCTGCACATGGGACTTTCTCTGAAATAGACAACATGCTAGCACATAGAACATGCTTCAGTAAATGCAAAGGAATTGAAGTAATCCCATGCATATTATTGGACCATACTGCAATGAAACTAGAAATAAATAATAAAAGAAATAGCAAAAGCTCCATAAACACATGGAAATTAAATAAGACCATCCTGAACAACCAATGGGTCACAGAAGAAATTAAAGTAGAAATTTAACACTATTTACAATCAAATGAAAATGCACATACAAACTACTGGAACCTGGGGGATGCACTGAAAGCAGTCCTCAGAGGGAAATTTATAGCAATGGATTACCACATCAGGAAAACAGGATGAACACAAATAAGCAACCTTATGTTACACCTCAGACTTCTAGAAAAAGAAGAGCAAGTTAATCCCAAAGTCCAAAGAAGGGTGGAAAGTATAAAGATCAGAGTAGAAAGTAATGCATTTGAAACTGAGAGAACAATACAAAGAATTAATGAATCAAAGAGTTGGTTCTTTGAAAGAATAAATAAAATTGATAAACCCCTAGCCAACCTGATTTTAAAAAGGAAAGAAAAAACTCAAACCCATGCAATAAGGAATAAAAGGGGTGATATCACTAAAGATCCTGTAAAACTTCAGAAGATTATCCATACCTACTTTGAAAATCTGTACTTTGATCAGATGGAAAATGCAGAAGAAATGGACAGATTCCTAGATACCTATGAATTATCAAAGCTGGATTGAGAAGATATAAAAATCTTGAATAACCCAATATCAGCCAATAAAATTGAAAATGTAATAGAGAACTTACCAACAAAAAAAGCCCAGGTTCTGATGGATTCACAGCTGAATGCTACAAGAAATTTAGAGATTTAATACCAATTCTTCTAAAACTCTTTAAAGAAATAGAAAGCGAAGCAATTCTCCCAAAATCATTACTGGAGTCAAGTATTATCCTGACACCAAAACCAGAAAAAGAACTCACCAGAAAAGAGAACTACAGGCCAGTCTTCCTAATGAACATAGATGCAAAAATTCTCAATAAAATACTAAGTAATAGAATGCAGAAAATCATCAAGAAGATAATACACCATGACCAAGTGGGTTTCCTCCCAGGAATGCAGGGATGGTTCAACATACACAAATCAATCAATATAATACACCATATCAACAGAGCTAAAGACAAGAATTACATGATCACCTTAATAGATGCAGAAAAGGCTTTTGGTAAAGTCCAACACTTATTCATGATAAAAACCCTACAGAAAATTGGCATAGATGGACTTTACCTCACTCTGATGAAAGTCATCCATGACAAACCAAGAGCCAACATCATACTGGATGGACAAAAACTGACAGCTTTCACTTTGAAATCAGGAACAAGACAAGGATGTCCACTGTCACCACTCCTATTCAACATAGTTGTGGAGACACTAGGCAGAGAAGTTAGACAAGAGAGAGAAATCAAAGAAATAAAGATAAGAAAGGAAGAAGTGAAATTATCTTTATTTGCACATGACATGATACTCTACACAGAAGACACCAAAAACTCCACCAAAAGAGTGCTAGAATTAATCAACAAATTCAGTAGCATAACTGGATACAAAGTCAACACTCAAAAATCAGTAGCATTCCTATACACAAACAACAAACATACTGAGAGAGAAATAAGGGAAACCATACCTTTCACAATAGCATCCAAAAAAACTGAAATACTTAGGAATTAATCTAACAAAAGAAATAAAAGACCTATACAGTGAAAATTATACTACTCTGAAAAAGGACATTGAAGAGGATTTCAAAAAGTGGAAAGATATTCCTTGTTCATGGATAGGAAGAACCGACATTGTACAAATGGCCATACTCCCAAAATTGTTATACAGATTCAATGCAATTCCAATGAAAATACCATCAGTATACCTCACAGACCTAAAAGCATTCCTAAAATTTATCTGGAACAAGAAGAGACCCAGAAGAGTAAAATCAGTCCTGGGCAACAAAGACAAGGCAGGAGGTATCACAATCCCTGATTTGAAATTATACTACAAAGCTACTGTGATAAAGTCAGCATGATATTGGCAAAGAACAAAAACAAAAAAATGGACCTGAAGCTCAGTGGAACAGACTGGAATATGCAGACACAATCACAAAGACACCCAGCCACCTTATCTTTGACAAAGGGGCCAAACATATTCACTGGAAGAAAGATAGCCTCTTTAATACACAGTGCTAGAAAAACAAACTTGGCACATGCCTAAGACTAAAACTAGACCCAAGCCTATCACCATGCACCAAAATAACGTCAAAATGGCTTAAAGGTCTGAATATTAAAACAGAAACACTAAATCTAATGGAAGAGAAAGTAGGTGGATGTCTTGAAGATATAGGAGTAGGTAGAGAGTTCATGAACAAAAACCAAACTGCATGGGAAATACTTCAAAGAATCAACAACTGTGATCTCATCCTATTGAAAAGATTTTGCACAGAAGAAAAAAATCACCAACAGGGGTAAAAGAAAACCCATGAATTGGGAAAAATTTTAGCCAACTGTCCCTCAGACAAAGGACTCCTGCCTAGAATATATAAAGAATTTTTAAAAAATCAACTATGTTGAATAGGAGTGGTGACAGGTCCCCAAAATTTAAAGATCCAATCCAAAAATGGGCATCTCTGAGAAATACACACTTCTCACATAAATACAAATGGCAAATATATACATGAAAAAATGTTCAACATCATTAGTCATTTGAGAAATGCAAATTAAAACAACACTGAGATTCCATCTCACCCCAGAAAGAATAGCTATCATCAAGACATCAACCCATAACAAATGCTGGAGGAGCTGTGGGGAAAAACGAACTCTTCTGCACTGTTGGTGGGAGTGTAGACTGGTGCAATCACTGTGGAAGTCAGTCTGAAGATTTCTCAGCAAACTAGCATTAGAGGTCCCATTCAACTCAGCTCTTCCCCTTCTGGGTATTTTTTCAGAAGAACTGAAAACATCATACCGCAGCGATATATGTGCACCTATGTTTATAGCAGCACAATTTGTAATAGCTAAATCTTGGAAACAACCCAAATGTCCATCGACTGAGGTATGGATAAAAAGATGTGGTATTTTTATACAATGGTATAATGTGGTATTTTATACAATATACTCAGCTATAAAGAAGGATAAAGTTGAGGCTTTTATAGGTAAATGGATCCAACTAGAGACCATACTCATTAGTGAAATAAATCAGATTCACGTGTGTAAACATCGTATTTCCTCCATAGTAGAAGAACCTGAAAGAGTGAATAAAATCTGAGAGGAACAATAGATATTGTGAAAGGGAAAAGAAACTGCTCAAATAGGAAGGAGCAACTGAGATGAAGGAGGGGAGAGGAAAAAGGAAAAGGAAGAGTGAAAAAAAAATATATATATATACACAGGATAGCTAGGATAATTGTACTACTAATACCTGTTGATTTACTGAAAGGAGCTGTTAATGTGTAATTGTCTGAGCAATCTTGCATGCCTATATCTGATTATATGTGCAACCATTTTGAAGATGACATTATGTAATATAACAACCGTTGTTAATATCCTATCACCATGTTTTGAAATTCTGTATCATCTTTTATTGCTCCTTATACTGTTTTGTTTATATATTTGTTTCTGTTATTTTGGTTTTTTAAAATGGAAAACAAAATTTATATGTATATATAAGGATAGCTGAAATAGGTGTATTGCTGATGTCTGTGGTTTACTGAAAGGAACACTCAATGCTTAAAATTTTATTTTTTCTTGAGCAATTTTGCACACTGGAATTTGGTAATCAGAATGACGGATCTGAAAAAAAATATGCAGTATAAGAGCCTTTGTTGAACTCCTACCATTGTGTATGGTGAAGCTCTTCATCATTTCCAATGTTTTATTTCATTTTTTGGTTTTCTTTTACTTGTTACTGTCCCTGATTGTTTGATCAGTCTTACATTCTTATGTCTAGTGGACTGAGCAACCACTGAATGAGCAATCACTGAAGATAACAGTATGAAATATAGCAATCACTGCAAATTCCTATCATTTTCTTTTGAGGTCACGTATCGTTTTTGTTGTTTTTGTGTTGTTTTGATTTTGTTTCCACTGTTGTTTTACTAGCTTCTAAATTTTTAAAATAAAAAGTGAATCAAGGTTATAAAATAAGGCAGGGATCTTTTCCCAATATGAATAGTGGAACACAGAACCTTTTGAGCGGTAACACACTTACATACGATACTGTAGAGGAAATCATGATATTATGTATTTGTCAAGAAAAAACACAACAAGCTTTTTTCCAAAATATCAAGTTAATTAACATATTTCTTGTACATATCATCTTTTTGTGGTACAGCATTTGAAATTCCTCCCACTGTTATTTTTAAATATGAAATATGTTACTATTGACTTTCATCCTGCTATGCAACACAACTCAAAATTTACTACTCTTCTCTAAAAGAAACCTGAACCCCTGCCTAGACTCAAGCAATTCACACTTCCTTCTGCTCCCCTCCCCTCAGCTGTGATAATGCTCTCTCCACTGTCCACCTCTGTAAGTTCAACTTCTTACATTTCACATATACCTGAGACCATGGAATAATTTTCATCCTGTTCCTAATTTATTTCACTTAATATAACATCCTACAGATTCCTTTGCTTTATCTTTCTTTTTAGAGCAATTTTATGTTCACAACAAAATAGTTAAGAAAGCACAGAGCTTACCATATATCTTTTGCTCCTACAAATTCAACCTCATACACTTCCAACAACCCCCATTGCTGTGATAAATTTATTTCAATTCATTGATTTCCTACAATGACATGTCACTAGTAACCAAAGTCTACAGTTTACCAGAGGGTTCATTCCTGGTAGTGTACTTTCTACAGGTTTTTGAAAAGTGTATAATAATAGGTATATACAATTATAGAATTATATACAATATTCTCATTGCCCTGAAATCCACTGTCCTCCATCCATACATCCTTCCTACTACAGCCCTTGAAATCCACTCATCTTTGTATTGTCTTCAGGCTCCACCGTATCATATACTTGAAATCATATAGCCTGTAGAGTTTCACATCAGCTGCTTTCACTTAAACATATACTCTCAATTTCCTTTACATCTTTCCACGGCTTAGCATCTCATTTCATTTTCATTATGAGTAATCTTCCATTGTCTTGATTGTACCATAGTTTCTTTGTCCATTCCCCTACCAAAGGGTATCTTGTTTTCTTCCAAGTTCTGGCAATTAGGTTCAAGCTGCTACAAACAATTTTGCTGTGAACCCAAAATTGTTCTAAAAGTGAAGACAAAGTAAAAGATTCTGGAGGATGTTATATCAAGTGAAATCAATTGCCAGGGGTTTGTGTTGGTATATGTTTTCAATTAATTTTGGTAAATGACAAGGACTAGGATTGCTGAACTACACTGCAAGCAGGTTTAGTTTTGGAAGAAGCTGCAAACTTTCTTCAAAATAGCTGTACTAGTTTGCAACCTTATCATCAATGAATGCAAGTTCCTGTTTCCCCTTTTCCTTGTCAGGATTTGGTATTGTCACTGTTCTGGATTTTGGGGATTTCACTAGGCATGAATTGAAACATCATAGTTCAGGTTGCATTTATATGATACGTGTGATGTTCAGTATCTTTCTCATGCTTATTTACCACCTATACATTTTATTCAGTGAGATGAGTTCTTTGGATTTCAGCATACATTAGGTCCACTTGTTAGTTTGCTATTATTGAATTTAAAGATTTCTGTTTATCCTCTGTGTGTGTGAGAGAGAGAGAGAAAAAGAGAGAGGGAGAGAGAGAGAGAGAGAGAGAGAGAGAGAGAGAGAGAGAGAGAGAGAAAGTGAGACAGGGTTTCCCTATGTAGTTCAGTCTGCCTTGAACTTGCTTATGTCAGCCTTGAACTCACAGTGATTCTGCTACCTCAACCTCTAGAGCATTGGGATTATGGATGTGCACCACTTCTTCCAGTCTTCTCTGTGAATGTTGAGTAACAGTATACATTACAGCCTTTATAAAATGTGTCCTTTGTCAACATTTTCTCCTAATCTGGTGGTTGACTTTGCATTCTTTTAACACTGTCTTTTCACAGAACAGAAGTTTTGAGTTTTAAAAACCCAATTTATCAATTATTTCTTTATGTTGTATCTAAAAGTCAAGGGTATATCTAAGGTCATCTAGGTTTCTCCTTTGTTCCTCTAAGAGCTTTATGGCTTTGTGTTTTATACCTGGGATTATGATCCGAGTCAAGTTGGTTTTGGTAGAACGTGTGTGGTCTATGGCCAGATTTATTTTTCTTTGCATGTGGATGCCCATCTGCTACAGCACCATCTGCTGAACACAAAATTTTTGCTCCATCACTTCTTTTTGAAAGATCAGTTAACTGAATATCTGGGCTCATTCTGGGCTCTCTATTTTGTCCCTTAATCTATATGCCTTTCTTGTGCCAGTGCCACACTCTCTTGATCACTGCAGCTTCATAGTAGGTCTTTTTGTTGGGTATTGCCAGTTCTTTGTTTTTTCTTTTTCTTCAATATTGAATTAGCTATGCTGGGTGTTTTGCCTTTTCACATAAATTCATAATCAGCTTTATGGTAGCTTCCCCTGGAAAAAAATTGTGGGGTTTGATTTGGAAAATCCCATAGAATATTATACTTCAGAGTGAACATTAATGTTTGCAGCTAAAATGGTAATAATGTTGAGATAGCACATGATGGAATGTACAGTGGGACAAAAGAATCTAGGTATATTACAAATGTATAAACAAAGCTCACGAAAGGTTAAGGGAGTATAAAAAGCATAAACCAAGCAACTCTGAACAACTGCACTTTAGCAGATAAGGTTGCTTTCCAAGGAGGTATGATTAACAATTCTCAAACTATAATACTTACATTCCTGTGTTCTCTAGTGACATAAAAACAATACTTGGTAATATTGCTCTCACCCTGAAACTGCACAATATATATTTCTTAAATATATAAATCTATATTATATATAGATTTGAATATGTAAATCTCTCTTTATATATATTTCTTGAATATGAAAATATGTATGCATATGTAAATATATATTTTTGAATATAAATATTATACATATATGAAGAGAGAATTTATAAACTGAATAATGTAATTTTGAAACCAGAAAAGTTCCAGGATCTACAGTCAGGATGCTGGAGACTCAGGCGTGCTGATGATCTTGTTCCAGGGCAGCCTCAAAGCTGAGAACAGGAAGAGCCAATGGTGTACCTCCAGTATAAAACACGGCAGGCTTGAGACCCAGAGCAGGTTGATACTGTAATTTGAGTCTGAAGGCAGAAAAATCAGAGTCCTGGCTCAAAGGCAATCACATAGGAGGGTTACACATTTACTCAGCCTTTGATTATACTTAGGCCTTCAACAGTTTCAGTGGGCCCCCTAACATGAGGATAGTCATCAGCTTTCTTCAGTCAGTCAATTCACATTTTAATCTCTTTCAGAAACACCTTCACAAACATATTTTAAAGGATGCTTATTAGCAAAATATCTAAGCACCTTGTGCTGGAGTCCATGTGATAATAGTATTTTATTGCACATCAGCAGCATTTTGGCATAAGAAGAGAAGCAAAAGATTGTGATTCATGAGTCACTGTGCTGTGCTCTGCATGGGGTTGGCCAAATTACAGAAAAGAAGAATTATTCACTCTGCTATGTGTCATAGTGAGAATTCCTGTCAGCTAGAGATGACCCTGGCCTCTCCTCCCAGAACACATTCTGAAAATAGCAGGTCAAGAAGTTGCTCATTTCATTCAAAGAGCAGCACTCCTCAGAGAAGAACCACGGCAGGATCCACAGAATATCTGTGCATTCAAGCAACAGAAACAATAGGAAAAACAAAAGGCACTTAACAGTGGACCACAAAAAGGCACGATACAATATCAGAAAGAAATTCAATAAAGTGGTCTCAGCTACAAAACCAAAGAAAGAAGGGGAAATGTGATGAAATACTAAAAGGTAAAACATTATCTTAAAAAGTTCAGAAAAGGACAGAGAAAAATACAGTACACTAGAAACAAAGGCTGAATTGAAAGCAGCACCAAGAAGAAAGAAATGACTGAGGCCAATAATGGACACAGAAGAAAAGATGGACAAAACTTCATGGCAGTGAAAAAGGGGTCAGAGAGTGTTGAAAGAGAATCAAAATATGATACAGAAAAGGGAAAGAAAGTGGATAGGAAATCAATGTAAGCATACTTTGAATAGAAAATACATATGATATATACTTACAATATTTATATACATATGCAAATCATAGAATAACAAATAGCCCAATACACTTTTCACATACCAATAACACACCCCACACACTAGCCAGTGTGAGCACAACATCGCCAATAAAGTTATGAAAAGGATCCACAAGGACCTACTCACTTAGGACATGAATACAGCATATATTCTGGTCCTCAAACAAGCATCACCCACTCTATTTGTAAAGACATAAATAAATGTATAAGAAACTATACTGAATATTTAAATATGAATTCATTATATCTATTTAGGAAATGGAAGAGTATACGTGCATCTTACTAACTTTCAAAATTTAACTACAAGTATACAGCAAATGTGGATATCACATATTCAATGGGAACACGAGGCACATACATAGAACATACAAACACTGAAATACCACCCAGCATAAATAATGAGCTTTCTTTAAAAAATAAATTACTCAAAACAAAGAGATTATGGAAGGTTTAATTAAATAAAAGGTATATTATTTAGATATTTCACACAAAGAATATGAGAATGGAAAATTTTGGGCATCAAATATTAAGAAATAAGTAATAAGAACAAGGATGCTGAAAAATTGATTCATATAAGTTAAGCAATTTTTGCCATTAATGAATATATACACTTTTAAGACCTAAGTATGGTATTGGGTATATTTTTTAAAGCCAATCCTTAGACACATTGAATGATTTATGAAAAAGTTATAATTTCTAGAAATTAACTTTCCAATAATTTGGGGTAAGTGAGTGAATAGGGTAGAAGAATGGAAGAAACAGGGCCATGAAATCTTCATTGCTAAACCTGGCTGATTGGTCTATATGAGGCCAGTTGTGGTGTTTTTGTCCTTTTTTTTTTTTGAAGTTTTCCTTAAGGGCAAATTCGTTCTTTTACCTTTTGAATCCTTGGGGGAAATTGTTATTTTTTTGTTTGTCGTAGTTTGTTTTTTGCTCTTCGTTTTTTTTTTGGTTTGGGAGGAGGCCACGCCTCCAACTTTTTTGTCCCCCGGCAGGCCTTGGAGACCTTTTTTTTAGGCTTTTGCTTATCCTTTCCTTCCCTTAATTTAGGTTTTTTTTTCTTTTCCTGCGTTCAGTTCAAACTTGGGGGCGGAGGATTTTTCCTTGCTTAAGGGTTGCCAAAATATGCATTCTGGATATTTCATAACTTTGCTAACGCTGTAGGTGTGACTTCATTATTTGTAGAGCCCAACCCTCGCAATCTGCAAGCTCATCTTCCAGAAGCCAGCCCAGCCCATCTGTACCATATATAAACTGTTGCCTAAGCCCATCTCTTTCACTCGCTCTTCTCAGCTCTGTCCTCAGCCTCTCACGCCTTCCCAGCTTTCTCAGCCCCAGGGAACTTGTCTAGCAAAACCATCGTGAGGAGCCAGAGCAGCAGCCGCTGTGGCTTTAGTTCCAGCTCAGCCAGAGTCCCTGGGCTCAGCCGCTCCGGCTTCAGCAGTGTCTCTGTGTGCCGCTCCAGGGGCAGTGGCGGCATTGGGGCAGCGTATGGAGGAGCTGGCTTTGGCAGCAGGAGCCTCTATGGCCTGGGAGGTTCCAAGAGGATCTCCATCGGAGGGGGCAGCTGTGCCATCGGAGGAGGATATGGCAGCAGAGTTGGAGGTGGCTTTGGCTTTGGAGGTGGAGCCGGCAGTGGATTTGGTTATGGTGGTGGAGTTGGTAGCGGTTTTGGGCTCGCTGGTGGAGTTGGCTTTGGTGGTGGCTATGGGGGCGCTGGCTTCCCCGTGTGTCCCCCAGGTGGCATCCAAGAGGTCACGGTCAATCAGAGTCTCCTCACTCCTCTGAACATGGAAATCGACCCCACCATCCAGCGGGTGAGGACGGAGGAGCGTGAGCAGATCAAGACCCTCAACAACAAGTTCGCCTCCTTCATCGACAAGGTGAGTCATGAGGCCTGGCCCTCTGCAGACAAAGACATAGCAATCCTCCAACAGGAAGAACTAGGACAGCAAGTGGGGGCTTCACACTGGACCTCCACAGGGCACAAGAGGGCCCCTTGGTGGGTGACAAGAGCAGGAGGAGATGGAATTGGAACTGCTGAGTTCCGTTTGGAACTGCTGACTTCCCTACAGACCCACAGATGAGGCAGTGTGACAATGGAAAGGGCTAGGTCTCCTCTCTTGAGGATCTGAGATACAAGCAATGGCAGTGGTCCTCGGGCCCCTGCTTCCCTCTGGGGTCTGGATTAGAGAAAAAGGCTAAACAAAAACTGAAGAGAAAACAATTTTCTTCCTTGAATAATGAAAAAGTTAAACAAGTTACACAATATGTGAAAATGCTAATTTATTACACAAAACAGACAATGACTACAAAAATGGGATGTTTATAGGGGATACATGCATTAAGTGGAGGAATAGATATTAATTAATTTACTTATTTATCTATCCTTAATCTATATTAATCTTTAGGGAACATTTACATCCTGATAGCTGAATCCTATCCATAAAGGAAACTTGTACAATGGAACAACAAACACTATTTTCAACTAGAATTGTGACTGTGCTTGCAAAGAGAGGAAGAAATATTAAAAGCCACTGATTAGATTCACAAGTTAGATGGTGAGAAGTACTGAGTTGTTCATTCTGAGGGTTTCTTGGTTGGTCTGTGTGTTGGAAAAGAGAAACTGCAGCAGACCAAACTGTCAGTGTGAGTCTCTGTGCATGCTCAGCACCGTTCATAGGGAGAAGCAGGGACTGCTGGGAGACCTGCCAAGCCCTCACTTCTTGCTTTCTGGCTTTGTCTCACAAATAACTATCTGTGCCCCTCCCAGGTGCGCTTCCTGGAGCAACAGAACAAGGTCCTGGACACCAAGTGGACCCTGCTCCAGGAGCAGGGCACCAAGACAGTCAGGCAGAACCTGGAGCCTCTGTTTGAGCAGTACATCAACAACCTCAGGAGGCAGCTGGACTCCATCCTTGGAGAGAGAGGCCGCCTGGACTCAGAGCTGAGGAATATGCAGGACACAGTGGAGGACTACAAGCACAAGTGAGTCACAACAGGAGAGGAGGAGTGGGCTCAGATTCTCCAGCTCACACTGCAAAAGAATTCAGAGGACAAGTCTAGATGTGCACATAACTCTGGAGGAAAACTCGTGTAGGAAAGATGATCATAAATTACTGCCAACCAGCAAAAACTGTAAGACAAGCCTGTTATGTGAGTTAGGGGTAGAGTAAAAAGAAAAAAATTTGTTGTGATAACAGCAAGAATCGTTTGGTCTCTCTGTGGCAGGGAAAATGGATCTGGACGCTCTCCATTTATGGAAAGAGGGGATCAGAGACAGTCCTTGGGTTTCCTCCACACACTGGCTCAAATGCGTTATACCCTTTCCTTGTAGATATGAAGATGAAATCAACAAGCGCACAGCAGCAGAGAATGAATTTGTGACCTTGAAAAAGGTGAGCTGACAAAGTTGGGATTGAGGCTGCTCTGCTGAACCAGAGATATGCTTCCGTGTCCCCCTCCCCTCCAAGAGGAGAGATGCCAGGGAGGTAGAGACGGATGGCCTGAGCAGGAGGGCTCAGCTAACTCCTCTCATTTCTCTGTCCCCAGGATGTGGATGCTGCCTACATGAACAAGACTGAACTGCAAACCAAGGCAGACAGCCTCATCGATGAGATCAACTTCCTGAGAACCTTGTACGAGGCTGTAAGTTTCCTCTCCCACTTGCGCTTCACTTGGATAGGATCTGCAAAGGCAGGAAGACCTTGATGCCGGTACCTCTGTAAGTGGTATGCACAAAGATGACCTTCGCACCTTGTGTTCTGTAGGAGCTGGCTCAGATGCAAACCCACATCTCAGACACTTCTGTGGTCCTGTCCATGGATAACAACCGCAGCTTGGACCTGGACAGCATCATTGCGGAAGTCAGGGCCCAGTATGAGGAGATTGCTCAGAGAAGCCGGGCTGAGGCTGAGTCCTGGTACCAGACCAAGGTGAGCAGTGAGGTGGTAGCTGCTCAGCAATCCGTGTGTCCCAGGCTCCAGGTCCCACGCTTCTAATACCAGAAGGCTTCTGAACCACTGGGCTGGGGGAACTGCTGAAAGAATGTAGGGGTCTTCTCACAGCAAGTACACTACACATGGTTACACACTGACAGAATTTATGCCCAATCTAGAAAGCAAAAGGACTCAGAGGAAGGAGGACAGAGATCATATAAAGAACTCAGCATCTTGCTCACATGTACCCTGAATGTTCCTTCTCAGAATATACTACAGAACACTGTCAGATCCCAAGAGAACCAGACACTATGTGGTCTCCTAAGCAGCAGGGTTTGTGACTGGGTTTTACAGTGTCCAATAAGCCTGTAAAATCCACTTTTCCATAAATTTCAAGGGTATGACGTGCCTTTTTACAAGTGAGAGCCCTCCTTCGCATATCGATTTTCTGTGTCTTCCATTGACCTACAGTATGAGGAGCTGCAAGTCACAGCGGGCAGACACGGGGACGACCTGCGCAACACCAAGCAGGAAATCGCTGAGATCAACCGCATGATCCAGAGGCTGAGATCTGAGATCGACCACGTCAAGAAGCAGGTACACAAAACAGAGTCAGTTAGAGCTTGCTTCTATCAATCCTAGGTTCTTGGACTCGTGTCCACCGGGAATGAGGCTCAGGGCTGAGCCCCTGGAACGTACCAGATGATAAGCGCATTGTGTTGCCTCCCCTCCAGTGCGCCAATCTGCAGGCCGCCATCGCTGATGCTGAGCAGCGTGGGGAGCTGGCCCTCAAGGATGCCAGGAACAAGCTGGAAGGGCTGGAGGATGCCTTGCAGAAGGCCAAGCAGGACATGGCCAGGCTGCTCAAGGAGTACCAGGAGCTCATGAATGTCAAACTGGCCTTGGACGTCGAGATCGCCACCTACAGGAAGCTGCTGGAAGGAGAAGAGTGCAGGTGCGTTGCCCACACACTAGCTCAGTCCTCTGAGATCTCCCAGATGTCCCACACTCACCACAACATTAGAGCAGCAGTCATAATTGTGATTATGGTTCTAGTAAAAAAAAAAAAAACAAAAACAAAAAAAAAACAAACTGAAAAGCAGTTCCCCCTGAACTATCCCCAGGTGCAGGCTTCCCCAGGTCTCCAGGTAGCAGGTTTCTAGGTCTCACCTTCCTGTGCTCCTCTCTCCCTAGGCTGAATGGTGAAGGTGTTGGACAGGTCAACATCTGTAAGTACCTGGGCTCCCTGCCTCCCCAGCCCCAGCCCAGCTCTGGCTCAGTGAGGTAGAATGTGCTCACTGTGTCCCGTGTCCTTGTCCTGTC